AGGCATCCGCTCGACAAGAGTAAACCAGGCATCCGCTCGACAAGAGTGAACCAGGCATCCGCTCGACAAGAGTGAACCAGGCATCCGCTCGACAAGAGTAAACCAGGCATCCGCTCGACAAGAGTGAACCAGGCATCCGCTCGACAAGAGTGAACCAGGCATCCACCCGTCAAGAGTGAACCAGGCATCCGCTCGACAAGAGTGAACCAGGCATCCACCCGTCAAGAGTGAACCAGGCATCCGCTCGACAAGAGTGAACCAGGCATCCACCCGTCAAGAGTGAACCAGGCATCCACCCGTCAAGAGTGAACCAGGCATCCGCTTGACAAGAGTGAGCCTCACGCCATTGTCCCCACAAGATTGCAGCACCGAAATTGAGGAAATTGAGAATATCGAAGCGGTCTCACCAAATTGTATCGCAATTCACTGTGTGATTCACAGGGAAGCGTTAGTGGCAAAGCGACTGAATGAAACTTGAAATGCTAAGGAGAAAAGTGACTTTGAGCTTGTACTTAATGATGTTGTCAAAGTGGTTAACCATATCTATGAACATGCTAAACAGCGTGTGGGAGCCGGTCGGCCGAGCGGACAGCATGCTGGACTTTTGATCCTGTGGTCCTGGGTTCGATCCCAGGCGCCGGCGAGAAACAATGGGCAGAGTTTCTTTCACCCTGAATGCCCCTGTTACCTAGCAGTAAAATAGGTACCTTGGATGTTAGTCAGCTGTCACGGGCTTCTTCCTGGGGGTGGAGGCCTGGTCAAGGACCGGGCCGCGGGGACACTAAAGCCCCGAAATCATCTCAAGATAACCTCAAGATCTCAAGATAGCATAGAATGTTTCGTGAGTTGTTTAAGGACATGGAAGCTAATTTCACCAAACTCCTCCTTCATACTGAAGTACGTTGGCTATCTCGAGGTAAGGTTCTTAATCGAGTGTATGCATTGAGAGAGCTGCTCTGTGTTATCTTTACTGAGTGTATGCATTGAGAGAGCTGCTCTGTGTTTTCTTTACTGAGTGTATGCATTGAGAGAGCTGCTCTGTGTTATCTTTACTGAGTGTATGCATTGAGAGAGCTGCTCTGTGTTATCTTTACTGAGTGTATGCATTGAGAGAGCTGCTCAGTGTTTTCTTTACTGAGTGTATGCATTGAGAGAGCTGCTCTGTGTTATCTTTACTGAGTGTATGCATTGAGAGAGCTGCTCTGTGTTATCTTTACTGAGTGTATGCATTGAGAGAGCTGCTCAGTGTTTTCTTTACTGAGTGTATGCATTGAGAGAGCTGCTCTGTGTTATCTTTACTGAGTGTATGCATTGAGAGAGCTGCTCTGTGTTTTCTTTACTGAGTGTATGCATTGAGAGAGCTGCTCTGTGTTTTCTTTACTGAGTGTATGCATTGAGAGAGCTACTCTGTGTTTTCTTTACTGAGTGTATGCATTGAGAGAGCAGCTCTGTGTTTTCTTTACTGAGTGTATGCATTGAGAGAGCTGCTCTGTGTTATCTTTTCTGAGTGTATGCATTGAGAGAGCAGCTCTGTGTTTTCTTTACTGAGTGTATGCATTGAGAGAGCTGCTCTGTGTTATCTTTACTGAGTGTATGCATTGAGAGAGCTGCTCTGTGTTTTCTTTACTGAGTGTATGCATTGAGAGAGCTGCTCTGTGTTTTCTTTACTGAGTGTATGCATTGAGAGAGCTGCTCTGTGTTATCTTTACTGAGTGTATGCATTGAGAGAGCTGCTCTGTGTTTTCTTTACTGAGTGTATGCATTGAGAGAGCAGCTCTGTGTTATCTTTACTGAGTGTATGCATTGAGAGAGCTGCTCTGTGTTATCTTTACTGAGTGTATGCATTGAGAGAGCTGCTCTGTGTTTTCTTTACTGAGTGTATGCATTGAGAGAGCTGCTCTGTGTTTTCTTTACTGAGTGTATGCATTGAGAGAGCTGCTCTGTGTTTTCTTTACTGAGTGTATGCATTGAGAGAGCTGCTCTGTGTTTTCTTTACTGAGTGTATGCATTGAGAGAGCTGCTCTGTGTTTTCTTTACTGAGTGTATGCATTGAGAGAGCTGCTCTGTGTTTTCTTTACTGAGTGTATGCATTGAGAGAGCTGCTCTGTGTTATCTTTACTGAGTGTATGCATTGAGAGAGCAGCTCTGTGTTTTCTTTACTGAGTGTATGCATTGAGAGAGCAGCTCTGTGTTTTCTTTACTGAGTGTATGCATTGAGAGAGCTGCTCAGTGTTATCTTTACTGAGTGTATGCATTGAGAGAGCAGCTCTGTGTTATCTTTACTGAGTGTATGCATTGAGAGAGCTGCTCTGTGTTATCTTTACTGAGTGTATGCATTGAGAGAGCTGCTCTGTGTTATCTTTACTGAGTGTATGCATTGAGAGAGCTGCTCTGTGTTTTCTTTACTGAGTGTATGCATTGAGAGAGCTGCTCTGTGTTTTCTTTACTGAGTGTATGCATTGAGAGAGCTGCTCTGTGTTTTCTTTACTGAGTGTATGCATTGAGAGAGCTGCTCTGTGTTTTCTTTACTGAGTGTATGCATTGAGAGAGCTGCTCTGTGTTTTCTTTACTGAGTGTATGCATTGAGAGAGCAGCTCTGTGTTATCTTTACTGAGTGTATGCATTGAGAGAGCTGCTCTGTGTTATCTTTACTGAGTGTATGCATTGAGAGAGCTGCTCTGTGTTATCTTTACTGAGTGTATGCATTGAGAGAGCTGCTCTGTGTTATCTTTACTGAGTGTATGCATTGAGAGAGCTGCTCTGTGTTATCTTTACTGAGGAAGCCAACCCAATGGCAGTTAAATGTTAGGCTGTGCTCTGGCTGGCAAAATTGTCTTATATGCCTTCAATCTTCGATCATCTGAACAAGCTAAACATCAGTCAGCAAGGCTAATCTTGAGGTTATCTTGAGATGATTTCGGGGCTTTAGTGTCCCCGCGGCCCGGTCCTCGACCAGGCCTCCACCCCCAGGAAGCAGCCCGTGACAGCTGACGAACACCCAGGTACCTAATTTACTGCTGGGTAACAGGGGCATAGGGTGAAAGAAACTTTGCCCATTGTTTCTCGCCGGCGCCTGGGATCGAACCCAGGACCACAGGATCACAAGTCCAGCGTGCTGTCCGCTCGGCCGAACGGCTCCTTTTCGGTCGACCGCTCACCCTCCCGCTAAGGTGGGGATATTTTTACAAGTATTGGGGAAAATAAATGCATTTAAACTGAAAGTGAAAAATGGAAAAGCAATCTGTAGAAAAGAGGTGTTTTTCGGATTTTGAATTATTTGACTCAATTATGAGAGAATGTGGCTGGGAACATGGCATGCAGACAACAGAACAGACACTGGAGGTACATATGTCACACTCAGTTATCACACACCTTACTTTAATACAAGATAACCTTGACTTCTATTTCCCAGAGAGTGAGAAGGACCAGCTGACCCCCAACATGTGGATGCTTAATCCCTTCACAGATGAAGGAACTGATCACTGTGATGCACTTTTGGACCTTTGAGCGGATTATTCACAAAAAGCAGTTTTCAAGACATTTAGCCATCCCATGGATTTCTGGGTTACCCTGCTTGATATCCCAGAGTACAAGGATCTAGCTGAGCAGGCATAGCAGGCATTTGTACAGATGCCAACATCATATATGTGTGAGCAAGGGTTCTCTAGTGTAGTTTTGGAGAAGACTAAGAAAAGGAATGCAATCCTGAACTTGGATCCTCTCAGGCGAGTTGCACTTGAAAATCGTCTGACACCTCGACTCAACCTAATATCAGACAAAGTGCAACAGCAGCCAAGCCACTGAGTTTTTTTAAAGGCTAACTATTTGTTTTATTTATTGATACCGAACCAAATATAGCAAACATTGTCTGCAATTTTACATTAATGAGGGAAAATGGGTCTAAATGGCATACTTAATGTTATCTTGTGTATGTTGAGCCTCTTAGTTAGAGATGAGGTGTGTGAATATATGGATGAATATGTAAAAGTTTAATAAAAAAGAAGAGAAACTGTTTTTTTCTGTTTACATAGTCATAGAAATGAGATATAAAACAGATTTTAAATATTAAAAACGCGAGATTTTTAATGAGACTTTTTCGGAGTGGGGGGTGGGGGTGGGGGGTGTGGGTGGGGGTGGGGGGTGGACAGCTACTTAATAATCACCACTAGAGGAGGACGATATTAAAAAAAAAGGTTGAAGACCACTGATCTATGTTATAACAAAGGATTTACATGTTTCCTGTAATATTAATAACAATAATCTTCATTTAGGTTATTAGCATACGCATTAGATTTTCCTATTTTCCCTATTTTCCTTTTATGTAATTGTCATGTGTTTCATTATAAATTATCCAACCCGTTCTCGCAAATTTAATAAGTCAATATTGACTTATTAAATATGTGCATAGGTGACATACTTAACATAATAGATACAATTAAAAAGATTCATAGAAAACACCGACCTTACCTAACCTACTTAGTATGTTAAGATAAGCATCTTATTGCTTCGTAATTACAATTATTACCTAACCTATAATAGGTATAGGTTAAGTAACAATTGTAATTACGAAGCAATAAGATGCTTATCTTAAGATACTAACAAGGTTAGGTAAGGTCGGTGTTTTCTATGAATCTTTTTAAGGGTATCTATTATGTTTAGTATATCACCTATGCACGTAGTTAATAAGTCAATATTGACTTTACGAATTTGCGAGAACGGGTTGCATTATCTCTGCCGAAATTGTAAGGTAACGGAAACCCACCAAACACATACCGAAACTACGACGTTGGTACAACGTTCGAACAAGTTTTAACACCTCCTAACCAGTTATAACAACCAATATAGCAAGTTGTAACAACGTTCTAATACGTCATAAATACGTTAAGCCAAGATATAACAACTTTATTGCAAGTTGTAACAAGCGGAAAATTAGAGACAGTTTCGGTTTGTGTTTCCAGGGAGTTTGTAATCTGATATTTGATAGCAAAATAATAACTTACACGCCATATGTTTCTTGGAACCAGTCTGCCCATCCTGGGATGAACTCGGGGGCCCTGAAGAGCCACAGCAGCACCAAGATGATGAAGAGACTCAGCACCAACACCTCCTGGAAGGTGATCACGCCCAGCTCCCGGTACTTGGCCAAGATCACCTCCTTCACCGCCTTCTTTCGTTCCTCTGAGGGATCCTTTATCATTTTTTTCTTTCCGCCACTGAAACAAATATAAAAATCATATGCAGACGATGAGTCACAATAACGAGGCTGAAGTATGTAAGTATGTATGTAGGAAGTATGTAACATAGGGGCCTCGGGTATGACCTCGGGTAACATAGGGGCCTCGGGTATGACCTCGGGTAACATAGGGGCCTCGGGTATGACCTCGGGTAACATAGGGACCTCGGGTATGACCTCGGGTAACATAGGGGCCTCGGGTAACATAGGGGCCTCGGGTATGACCTCGGGTAACATAGGGGCCTCGGGTATGACCTCGGGTAACATAGGGGCCTCGGGTATGACCTCGGGTAACATAGGGGCCTCGGGTATGACCTCGGGTAACATAGGGGCCTCGGGTATGACCTCGGGTAACATAGGGGCCTCGGGTATGACCTCGGGTAACATAGGGGCCTCGGGTATGACCTCGGGTAACATAGGGGCCTCGGGTATGACCTCGGGTAACATAGGGGCCTCGGGTATGACCTCGGGTAACATAGGGGCCTCGGGTATGACCTCGGGTAACATAGGGGCCTCGGGTATGACCTCGGGTAACATAGGGGCCTCGGGTATGACCTCGGGTAACATAGGGGCCTCGGGTATGACCTCGGGTAACATAGGGGCCTCGGGTATGACCTCGGGTAACATAGGGGCCTCGGGTATGACCTCGGGTAACATAGGGGCCTCGGGTATGACCTCGGGTAACATAGGGGCCTCGGGTATGACCTCGGGTAACATAGGGGCCTCGGGTATGACCTCGGGTAACATAGGGGCCTCGGGTATGACCTCGGGTAACATAGGGGCCTCGGGTATGACCTCGGGTAACATAGGGGCCTCGGGTATGACCTCGGGTAACATAGGGGCCTCGGGTATGACCTCGGGTAACATAGGGGCCTCGGGTATGACCTCGGGTAACATAGGGGCCTCGGGTATGACCTCGGGTAACATAGGGGCCTCGGGTATGACCTCGGGTAACATAGGGGCCTCGGGTATGACCTCGGGTAACATAGGGGCCTCGGGTATGACCTCGGGTAACATAGGGGCCTCGGGTATGACCTCGGGTAACATAGGGGCCTCGGGTATGACCTCGGGTAACATAGGGGCCTCGGGTATGACCTCGGGTAACATAGGGGCCTCGGGTATGACCTCGGGTAACATAGGGGCCTCGGGTATGACCTCGGGTAACATAGGGGCCTCGGGTATGACCTCGGGTAACATAGGGGCCTCGGGTATGACCTCGGGTAACATAGGGGCCTCGGGTATGACCTCGGGTAACATAGGGGCCTCGGGTATGACCTCGGGTAACATAGGGGCCTCGGGTATGACCTCGGGTAACATAGGGGCCTCGGGTATGACCTCGGGTAACATAGGGGCCTCGGGTATGACCTCGGGTAACATAGGGGCCTCGGGTATGACCTCGGGTAACATAGGGGCCTCGGGTATGACCTCGGGTAACATAGGGGCCTCGGGTATGACCTCGGGTAACATAGGGGCCTCGGGTATGACCTCGGGTAACATAGGGGCCTCGGGTATGACCTCGGGTAACATAGGGGCCTCGGGTATGACCTCGGGTAACATAGGGGCCTCGGGTATGACCTCGGGTAACATAGGGGCCTCGGGTATGACCTCGGGTAACATAGGGGCCTCGGGTATGACCTCGGGTAACATAGGGGCCTCGGGTATGACCTCGGGTAACATAGGGGCCTCGGGTATGACCTCGGGTAACATAGGGGCCTCGGGTATGACCTCGGGTAACATAGGGGCCTCGGGTATGACCTCGGGTAACATAGGGGCCTCGGGTATGACCTCGGGTAACAGGGGCCTCGGGTATGACCTCGGGTAACATAGGGGCCTCGGGTATGACCTCGGGTAACATAGGGGCCTCGGGTATGACCTCGGGTAACATAGGGGCCTCGGGTATGACCTCGGGTAACATAGGGGCCTCGGGTATGACCTCGGGTAACATAGGGACCTCGGGTATGACCTCGGGTAACATAGGGGCCTCGGGTATGACCTCGGGTAACATAGGGGCCTCGGGTATGACCTCGGGTAACATAGGGGCCTCGGGTATGACCTCGGGTAACATAGGGGCCTCGGGTATGACCTCGGGTAACATAGGGGCCTCGGGTATGACCTCGGGTAACATAGGGGCCTCGGGTATGACCTCGGGTAACATAGGGGCCTCGGGTATGACCTCGGGTAACATAGGGGCCTCGGGTATGACCTCGGGTAACATAGGGACCTCGGGTATGACCTCGGGTAACATAGGGGCCTCGGGTATGACCTCGGGTAACATAGGGGCCTCGGGTATGACCTCGGGTAACATAGGGGCCTCGGGTATGACCTCGGGTAACATAGGGACCTCGGGTATGACCTCGGGTAACATAGGGGCCTCGGGTATGACCTCGGGTAACATAGGGACCTCGGGTATGACCTCGGGTAACATAGGGGCCTCGGGTATGACCTCGGGTAACATAGGGGCCTCGGGTATGACCTCGGGTAACATAGGGGCCTCGGGTATGACCTCGGGTAACATAGGGGCCTCGGGTATGACCTCGGGTAACATAGGGGCCTCGGGTATGACCTCGGGTAACATAGGGGCCTCGGGTATGACCTCGGGTAACATAGGGACCTCGGGTATGACCTCGGGTAACATAGGGGCCTCGGGTATGACCTCGGGTAACATAGGGACCTCGGGTATGACCTCGGGTAACATAGGGGCCTCGGGTATGACCTCGGGTAACATAGGGACCTCGGGTAACATAGGGTATGTACCATAGGGTATGTAACATGTAGGGGCCTCGTAGCCTGGTGGATAGCGCGCAGGACTCGTAATTCTGTGGCGCGGGTTCGATTCCCGCACGAGGCAGAAACAAATGGGCAAAGTGTCTTTCACCCTGAATGCCCCTGTTACCTAGCAGTAAATAGGTACCTGAGAGTTAGTCAGCTGTCACGGGCTGCTTCCCGGGGGTGGAGGCCTGGTCGATGACCGGGCCGCGGGGACACTAAAGCCCCGAAATCATCTCAAGATAACCATCTCAAGATAACCATAAGCTTACCCTTACATTTATCTTTCTTTCTCTTTCATTTTTCGTGTTCTGTCCATTATTTTCTCTTACGATTCCTTGCTATCCTCTTCTTATTCCTATTACTATCCCCTTCATATTGGGTTGTTATAGATAAGAGCGGCCTCGTATGGGCCAATAGGCCTTCTGCAGTTACCTGGTTGATACCTGGTTGATGGGGTTCTGGGAGTTCTTCTACTCCCCAAGCCCGGCCCGAGGCCAGGCTTGACTTGTGAGAGTTTGGTCCACCAGGCTGTTGCTTGGAGCGGCCCGCAGGCCCACATACCCACCACAGCCCGGTTGGTCCGGCACTCCTTGGAGGAATAAATCTAGTTTCCTCTTGAAAATGTCCACGGTTACCTTTGTTCTTTTTCCTGTCACTATCCTCTCTACTACAACTTATCTTGCATACCTTTTGTCTTGCTCCTCACCTCTCTCTTGCCTACTTATTGCCGTCATCTCCTTCCCTCGTCTACCGTACTTGTGCCAGGTAAGTCCACTACGGGCTCACCATAGCCTGTGCTACTTGCCCCCCTTCCTGTGCCAGGTAAGTTACCGGCTCACCATAGCCTGTGCTACTTGCCCCCTTCCTGTGCCAGGTAAGTTACGGGCTCACCATAGCCCGTGCTACTTGCCCCCCTTCCTGTGCCAGGTAAGTTACGGGCTCACCATAGCCTGTGCTACTTGTCCCCTTCCTGTGCCAGGTAAGTTACGGGCTCACCATAGCCCGTGCTACTTGCCCCCCTTCCTGTGCCAGGTAAGTTACGGGCTCACCATAGCCCGTGCTACTTGCCCCCCTTCCTGTGCCAGGTAAGTTACGGGCTCACCCTAGCCCGTGCTACTTGCCCCCTTTCCTGTGCCAGGTAAGTTACGGGCTCACCATAGCCCGTGCTACTTGCCCCCCTTCCTGTGCCAGGTAAGTTACGGGCTCACCATAGCCCGTGCTACTTGCCCCCCCTTCCTGTGCCAGGTAAGTTACGGGCTCACCATAGCCCGTGCTACTTGCCCCCCTTCCTGTGCCAGGTAAGTTACGGGCTCACCATAGCCCGTGCTACTTGCCCCGCTCCTGTGCCAGGTAAGTTACGGGCTCACCATAGCCCGTGCTACTTGGAACTTGTTCCGAGTAGCTGATTCTATAACAACAACAACAACGAATAATAACTCACGGGAGACATCTCCCGTCACGCAGGGTACAGTCGCACCTCCATAGATCTCCAGTATCAGCTCTTGATACTGGTAATGGCTCAAAAGGGCCACCACTTACGGGCTATTCATGCCCGTGCCACATTTTGGGTGGCTTTTTTTAATTCCTCACCCATGCTAGGGCCTTTCCGCTTACTCCTGCCTGCCTCTCAAGTTTGTATAGCAGTTTCATGTGCAGTACTGTATCAAAGGCCTTCTGGCAGTCTAGAAATATGCAGTCCGCCCAGCCTTCTCTGTCCTGCCTTATCCTTGTTATTTTATCATAGAATTCCAAAAGGTTTGTGGTTTGTTAGGCATGATTTCCCTGTCCAGAACCCATGTTGGTATTTGTTTACAAACCCAATGTTCTCCAGGTGTGCAACAAGTCTCTAACCTAACTATTCTTTCAAGTATTTTGCATGGGATGCTTGTCAGTGATACGGGTCTGTAGTTGAGTGCCTCCTCCCTATCGCCTTTCTTGAAAATCGATACGACATTTGCCTTCTTCCAGCAACTGGGCAATTCTCCTGACACAAGTGACTCATTAAAGATCATTGCCAGAGGCACGCTGAGAGCCTGCGCTGCCTCTTTTAGTATCCACGGTGATACTTTGTCTGGTCCAACCGCTTTAGTTGCATCCAGTGTTGTCAACTGTTTCATTACCTCCTCTGCTGTCACCTCTCAACCCATTTTCGCACTTGCTTGTAGTCAATATCTTGCTTATGAAAAAGTGCATATGACATATACTAATTTA